ATGGCAAGGACGAGCTCTACGTCGTGAAATGGCGCAGCGCCAGATCCATCCTCGCCTCGCGCGTCCCAGCTCGGTACATTCACTGCTCTCACGTGCTCCTCGACTACTTCCTGGACGATCAGTCCGTGGCGCTGCGATTCCAATGCGGCGGTGAGGCCACGATAATCCGTGCCAAGTTCGTGGTGGGTGCCGATGGAATCAACTCGGCGGTGAGGCGAGCGATGTATCCTGCCGATCGTCCACGGGATCTCCACCTCATTAATTGGAATGCGCTCGTCCACAATCCTGGGAGATTTTCGGTGCACGATCGAGACCAGATCGCACTCATCCGGAGCGGCCCATCGCTATGCTACCTCGTCGACGCCGGTACGGTCCTCCGGTCTGGATGATCTAGCTCTTGTACGGAAGTTGACACTGTTCTTGCTGCTCTAGGCGAGGATTACACGCTGTGGGTGTTTAGAGTTGAGGATCGCAGCACCGCGAAGGAATCTAGCGGGGGGTTTTGCGATGAATCCGGCAAGGCGAGGGTGCTGGAAGAGATTGACAAGCTTCTGGGCTCGTCTCCCGCGTGGGAGCCGCTCAAAATCGCGGTGGAAGCAACCGAGGCGGGGCAGATCTTCCAGCGGAGAATCAAGGACCGAATTCCACTCGAGAGCTGGAGCAATCTGGATCAGAGGGTGGTGCTCATGGGCGATGGTAAGTTTTTTTTTTTTTATGAAGTTTTGCGTGGAGAAGTTACATGAATCTCTTCTCTCTTTTTAGCTGCTCATGCGATGCATTGGGGCCCCGCCCAAGGAGCAAGAACAGCCTTCGAAGACGCTCATCAGCTTTGTGAGCTTCTCTCCCCCGCCCTCGCGGCTGGAAATCCGGAGGATCTCAAGCGAGCAGTGATGAGGTAAAGTTGTGTGAAGTCTCACGACGGTCAGAAGTTATAACGCAAGGTTCTTTCAAACAGGTATGAAGAGCTTCGAATCCCTCGCTTGACAAAGTTCCAAAACTACGCAGCAGAGACAACCTGCATACCCGACTTTATACCGGCTTGGGTGACACAGTTGACGCCCTCAGATCAGAGGTGCCGGATGAAGGAGTTTCAACACTGGGCCGCTAGTTACCCGCTAAACATGACTGGTGATCCAGATTCAACATACTTCAAGTAAAATTATTGCAAATATAATTGATTCCACAGGTTATAATATAAACATCTACATCTTAGTCTATATGAGCCAAGGGGTGCTTTGTATGTAGTCGAACTTGATCCCTGTGGTGGGAGCCATTGAAGTTGCTAATCCTAAATGAATGCAAAGCATTACCTTAATCACTCTTGGTGAAGAACAGCATTGCCAACTTTGTAGCCATGAGACGAGATGGGCCAAACGATCTTTCTAAGGATGGAGTTGTGTCAGATGTTCTTGTTTAGCTCATGGAAACGAGGCCACTTCAAGAAGACGGATTCTCCAGAGGAGATGATCATCGCGGGCTGGCAGACCAAGTTTGATCCTCCGGACAAGATTGACAAGAACTCGGGACACGAGACGATCCACGGGGACCGCAAGAACCACCAAGAACACCATCCAAAATCTTCCAAGCAGAGCACGAGCAATGGAAAGTACCAGCGCGCCGCCAAGGTCTACTTCGTGCCCCTCCTATTCTCGACGATCACGGCCGGCGCCAGCAAACCTCCGCGTAACTGGTATCTGAAATCGTGGCCGGCTTGCTGAAAAATAAAATCACCAAGGGGCATGTGATGACAACAGGAATATTTGGTTCAGATTTTATTTGATTATTTCGCAAGAACACGCGCATGGTGATGGAAGTGGCCATAGTTGACGCGGGGCTGGCCGGCCTTGCGCTTGCCGCAGGCCTACATTCTCGAGGAATCCAAGCTCATGTCTTCGAGAAATCCTCAAACCTCATCGTGGACACCGCCACGGCCACCAGCCTCGGTCCCAATGGTATAGATCTCCCAAGCTTTCCTCTCCAACGGATTGGATTGATGCGCAGCCAGCCGCGCCTTGGATGGCATCAGTGTCGGCCTCTCGGCGGCAATCAAATCGGTACCAAGGGGACATTCTGTGGATCGCGCAATGGCAAGGAAACCTTTGTGACGAGGTATGATGGGGTCCGGACGACGAGTTCTACATCGTGAAATGGCGCAGCGCCAGATCCATCCTCGCCTCGCGCGTCCGAGCTCTGTACATCCACTGCTCCCACGCGCTCCTCGACTATTGCCTGGAAGATCAATCCGTGGCGCTGCGATTCCAGTGTGGCGGTGAGGTCGCGATATTCCGCGCCACGATGGAATCAACTCGGCGGTGAGGCGAGCGATGTATCCAGCCGATCGCCCGCAGGATCTCCATCTCATCAACTGGAACGCGCTCGTCCACAATCCTAAAAGAACAAACTGAGTTTTATAATTTTATTTAAGATTTATAAAAATAAAAATTTAAAATCTTTAAGTAAATTTAAATTTAGATTTTACCAGTTATTTTATAAAATAAACTAGGATATTCCATGGCCGGACTGCCAAACACCAAAAACCTTAAAGTGAATACACTTTGGATTCATTGCAAAATCCATCACTGGATCCTGTGATCCTCAATGCTAAAGTGTAATCCTCACCTAGAACAGTGTCAAATTCTGTATGAGAGAACTGTACCTGCATCGATGAGGAAAGACACTGATGGGTGCTCCAGATGCTTGTTAGTCTCAATTGTGCACTGAAAATCTTACCATTGTTTCTCACTTTCTACCAATTTTTAAAGTAACTATAGATTTTAGTGAGTTTAGTTGTTGAAGCATGTGTCACCCCACAACAAATAATAACAAGATTCCATCCATCTTATATTGTTTAGTTGTTAAAGTGTAAAGCCCCTAGTGGATAATCCTCACAAAGAAACTTTAAGTTGCATCCTCTTGCCACTACACAAAAAAACCATTCATTTCTTTGATCTATTTTAGGGAAAAATGTCTTAAAATCTCTAGGCACTAAATGGTTTTTGAATTGTTTGGGGTTTAAGTTGAAAAATGAAAATTAGGGCTGTGAGCTCTTATTGATGGATGCAATTACTACAAAGACTTCTATGATTGAGGCAAAGAGTGAGCACAATAATTTGCAATTATGCAAAAGTTTTAATTTATTTGATTTCTTTTCTAATAGATATATTTTAAATTTTGATTATTTTTATTGAAATTATTATCATTAATATTTAAAATATCTTTATATTTATATATTTAACAAGGTATATAAAAGTATATTATTTTCTTTTAGAATATATAAGGAATTTTGATGATGTGGCATGGAAAAACTCTTTAAAAGGAAATCCTCAAACAGATTCTCCCGTGTGGGAGCCGCTCAAAGTCGCGGTGGAGGCAGGGAAGATCTTTCAGAGGCGAATCAAGGACAGAATTCCACCAGAGGGCTGGAGCGATCTGGATCACAGGGTGGTGCTCATGGGCAGTTTTTGACGAGGTTTTGTGTGGAGAAGTTACATGAATCTCTTCTCTCTTTTCCGCAGAGGCGACTGGAGCCTGGAATTTGGATCGCTGCATTTTGATCAGTAAAACTTCCCTCTACTCCTTTCAAACAAATACTCTGAGGCCCAAAGAAACGCGTAGTGGAACACAGTTAAAGACTGGAGTCCAAGATGGGCATATATGCAACTAGCTAGGATGTGGATGTGAGAGCAGGAAGGGGGAGTTGAAGGGTAGCTACTCATGCGATGCATTGGGGCCCCTGCCAAGGAGCAAGAACAGCCTTCAAAGACGCACATCAGCTTTGTGAGCTTCTCTCCCCCGCCCTCGCAGCTGGAAATCCGGAAGATCTCAAGCTAGCAGTGATCAGGTAAAGTTTTGTGAAGTCTCACGACGATCAGAAGTTATAACGCAAGGTTCTTTCAAACAGGTTCGAATCCCTCGCATGACAATGTTCCAAAACTACGCAGCAGAGTAGCAGACTTCATACCGGCTTGGGTGACACAGTTGACGCCCTCAGATCAGAGGTGCCGGACGAAGGAATTTCAACACTGGGCCGCTAGTTACCTGCTAAACATGACTGATGATCCAGATAAAAAATGATTTAGACGTATTTTATAACGGCCGGTACGAATAACAGACGGGGTGAGTAATAGCGCAAACATAGTAGCGAATGAGCAGGAATTAATTCCATTTCGTACAAAATAATAAATTCAACTGTAATGTGAATTATTTATATTCTGTTTTGGCAGTTTTGTGGTGCCTAACAAGAAACATAAAACTGCAAACAAGTTTGCAAGTTTGTTGTGAGGGTCTTTTCACTCCCTCCATTCCCACACTTACATTCCTTCATCTCCCTAGGTCCCGGCTCCCGCCACACTCCCTCCTCCCTTTCTCGCTCCCTTTGCGTCTACCAGCTTTTTGGCCAGAGGCCTCGCCTTTGCTCTTCTAAGCAGGAGACTGATGGATGCAGTTGCAAGAATGCTGTTTTAACAATCTCTCAATCCAATACTCAAATGAATCTTTCTTGATGAATTGTGGCAGGTGCTGCTGCCAGGTCAGCTTGTCCGAGTGCATCGGTCGTTTGCTTTGCAAAAAACATGTTTAGTAGAAGTATTTGTATTAACATATATGCGAAGTTATAATTCTCCATTTACTTTATTTTATTCTTAATCTGAGCTTAGCTGTATGGGATGCTTTGTATGTAGTCAAACTTGATCGGAGGTGGAGCCATTGAAGTTGCTGATCCTAAATAAATGCATTGCACTCTTGGCAAAGAACAACATTGCCAACTTTGTAGCCATGAGACAAGATGGGCCAAAACAATCTTTCTAAGGATAATCATAAACAGAACGTGAGATTGTAACTGGTCTCTGAAACCGTGGCTGGCTTGCTGAAAAATAAAATCACCAAAGGGCATCTGATGACAACAGGAATATTTAGTTCAGATTTTATTTCATTTTTTAATGCTCAAGATTTTTTAACCTCCCAGGTACGACTCCCTGTACGAACAGTTGGAAGAGCGTGGACAAGCCGGTGATGGAAGTGGCCATAGTTGACGCGGGCCTTGCGCTTGCCGCAGGCCTACATTCTCGAGGAATCCAAGCTCACGTGTTCGAGAAATCCCCAAACCTCATCGTGGACACCGCCACGGCCACCAGCCTCGGTCCCAATGGTATAAATCTCCCAATCTTTTCCTCTCCAACGGATTGGATTGATGCGCAGCCAGCCGCGCCTTGGATGGCATCAGTGTCGGCCTCTCGGCGGCGATCAAATCGGTCGCGAGCATCACCAAAACAACCAAGGTCACATTCTGTGGATCGCGCAATGGCGACGAGACCTTTGTGACGAGGTATGATGGTGTCCGGGACGACGAGTTCTACGTCGTGAAATGGCGCAGCGCCAGATCCATCCTCGCCTCGCGAGTCCCAGCTCTGTACATCCACTGCTCCCACGCGCTCCTCGACTACTGCCTGGAAGATCAATCCGTGGCGCTGCGATTCCAGTGTGGCGGTGAGGTCGCGATATTCCGCGCCAAGTTCGTGGTGGGCGCCGATGGAATCAACTCGGCGGTGAGGCGAGCGATGTATCCCGCCGATCGCCCGCGGGATCTCCATCTCATCAACTGGAACGCGCTCGTCCACAATCCTGGGAGATTTTCGGTGCACGATCGCGACCAGATCGCAAGCATCCGAAAGGGCCCATCAGTGTCCTTCCTCGTCGACGCCGGTACGGTGCTCTTGTACGGAAATTGACACTGTTCTTGCTGCTCTAGGCGAGGATTACACGCTGTGGGTGCTTAGAGTTGAGGATCGCAGCACCGCGAAGGGATCCAGCGATGGATTTTGCGATGAATCCGGCAAGGCGAGGGTGCTGCAGGAGATTGACAAGCTTCTGGGCTCGTCTCCCGCGTGGGAGCCGCTCAAAGTCGCGGTGGAAGCAACCGAGGCGGGGCAGATATTCCAGAGGAGAATCAAGGACCGAATTCCACTCGAGAGCTGGAGCGATCTCGATCACAGGGTGGTGCTCATGGGCGATGGTAAGTTCTTGAGAAACACACGAGTCTCTTAGAATCTCTCGTTTTAGCTGCGCATGCGATGCATTGGGGCCCTGGCCAAGGAGCAAGAACAGCCTTCGAAGACGCTCATCAGCTCTGTGAGCTTCTCTCGCCCGCCCTCGCGGCTGGAAGTCCTGAAGATCTCAAGCGAGCAGTGATCAGGTAAAGTTGTGTGACGATCAGATCATAAGTTGTCCCGCGAGGTTTCCTCAAACAGGTATGAAGAGCTTCGAATCCCTCGCATGACAAGGATCCAAAACTTCGCAGCAGAGACAACTTCCATAGCCGACTTTATGCCGGCTTGGGTGACGGAGTTGACGCCCGGGGATCTGTGGGGCCGGTGGAAGGAATTTCAACAATGGGCCGCTAGTTACCCGCTAAACATTACTGGCGATCCAGATTCAACATACTTCAAGTAAAATGCGGATTATTCTAACGAGCAATATTTTTCTTACCTGGGTATTAACTAGAAACATCGACAACGGTGGGATTCGGACCCACGACCTTCAGATCCGAAGTCTTACGCGCTAATCCACTGCGCTACGCGGCCTCAACAATTTCTCGAAATGTATAAAAAAAATATAAAACTATTCTCGTATCAATCATGGGTTTATATATTTCTGGAATGAATAAAAACAATAGGAAACCACTCTCATATCTCTATCATATGCTACAAAATGTCTAGTAAAACGTAAGTCCAAGTTATCTACGCGTACCTAACGCGCATACTTTTGACGCGAAAAAAAAAACAGAGCAGAAAAAAAAAGGCAAAATTCCGTGAGGAAAAGGGGGGGTTCTTAGTTGGAAGGCATAACACGGGTCTCTTGTGAGTTGCCTAGTGTCTCTCAAGCGCTGTTCTCTTGGTGATCTCTCCCTTTCTGCCCCTTGCGCTGTGGTTTGTATTTGAGCCACGAGATCCTCCAGCGCAAAAAGAAGAACAGGAGCAAGTACAAAAAAAAGGTATTCAAGATGGTTCTCACAATGACCTCCGAGGCGGATTCCAGCCTCCAGTCCACGTTTGCTTCTCGCTACTCGCAATCGTCGGTATCAAAGTAAGAAGAAAACCATCCCGAGTGCTCGACCAAAATCGCATTTTTTCGCGTCGCCACGAGTGGATCTGGCCCTGCCGAGATCCATCCTGGGATTTGTCTTTCGAGATGTCGAGGCTCACTTCTTTTCATTTCTCTAGGTACCGCATTCCCGACCAAGAGACGCCCAAGGATGCCGCTTATCAGATTATCTCGGACGAGCTCATGCTGGATGGAAATCCTCGTCTCAATCTCGCCTCCTTCGTCACCACTTGGATGGAGCCCGAGTGTGATAAGCTCGTCATGGCCTCGCTCAACAAGAATTACATCGATATGGACGAGTATCCGGTGACCACAGAGCTCCAGGTTCGAAAAGAAAATATCTTTCGAGCATGACTTTGCATGTTCGCATTGTTTTCTTAATTGGTTTTTCGTGTGAGTGGAGAAACGCTAGCGTTTTTTTTTCTCTTAAATTAATGGTTTTTTGTTTTGCTCGTAGGATCGATGCGTGAACATGATCGCTCGGCTGTTCAATGCTCCAGTGGGAGACTCGGAGCAAGCAATTGGAGCTGGAACTATTGGTTCTTCCGAGGCGATAATGCTGGCTGGCTTAGCTCTCAAGCGAAAGTGGCAAAACAAGAGGAAGGCCGAAGGAAAGCCATGGGATAAGCCAAACATTGTCACTGGATCAAACGTCCAGGTTGGTTTCTCTTCAGTTTCGTCCATGAAGTTTTGTGCATCTTTTCTTGGAGAGAATGAATGCTGAGAACTGTTGATGAAATTACCAGGTTTGCTGGGAGAAGTTCGCTCGCTACTTTGAAGTGGAGCTCAAGGAAGTGAAGCTGAGCAAGGATTACTACGTGATGGATCCACACAAGGCGGTGGAGATGGTGGACGAGAACACCATTTGCATTGCAGCCATCCTTGGTTCCACTTACAACGGAGAGTTCGAAGACGTGAAGCTCCTCAACGAGCTCTTGGAAAAAAAGAACAAAGAAACTGGGTAAAATATCTCTCTGTGTTCGTCGAGAAAAAGCTTGAAACTTATCGTTTTCTTGCCTTAGATGGGATACTCCTATCCACGTTGATGCTGCCAGTGGAGGATTCATCGCTCCATTCCTCTATCCAGATTTGGAGTGGGATTTTCGATTGCCTCTTGTCAAGAGCATCAATGTGAGTGGCCACAAGTATGGATTGGTGTACGCTGGGATTGGCTGGGTTATCTGGAGAGGCAAGGAAGATCTTCCGGAAGAGCTCGTCTTCCACATCAATTATCTTGGAGCCGACCAGCCAACTTTCACTCTCAATTTTTCCAAAGGTTCTTTGAGTGTTCTTTTGTTCTATCACTCTCTTATCATTCTGTCTTTTACCACAGGTGCTAGTCAGATTATAGCTCAGTATTACCAGCTCATTCGTCTCGGCTTCAGGGTAAGTTTAAGAACAAAGAACAATCTCCTTTTTCTTATGGATTTCTACACAGGGATACAAGTCTATCATGCAAAACTGCCAAGCCAATGCTAAAATCCTGGCTGATGCTCTCGTTGCCACTGGCCGCTTCGTCATTCTCTCCAAGGAAATTGGAGTTCCAGTGGTAGCGTTCTCGCTCAAAGACCGCAAGAACCACGACGAGTACGAGATTGCTGACCATCTCCGCCGCTACGGCTGGATCGTTCCTGCTTACACCATGGCTCCGGATGCCCAGGATGTTACGCTGCTCCGAGTCGTTGTCCGGGAGGACTTCAGCAGGACTCTGGCCGATCGTCTCGTCTCCGACATTGTTGCGGTGTTCAAGTACCTGGACGCTCATCCCCCTCGGCTAATCCAGGCTGTAACCGAAGCTTTAGCCAAGGATCCGGAGATCAAGAAAGAGCTCTTAGATGCCGAACCGGGGGAGGTGAAGGCCCAGCTGGATCTACGAAAGGCTTCCGTGTTTGAGGACATTCGCAACTCGCAGCGAGCTTTCAAGGTCTGGAAGAAGTTCGCGCTAAGCAAAACAAATGGTGTCTGCTGAGACTGGTGACTCTCGAAGTGCACATCCTATATATTTAAACCTGTGGCAAAGAAACCATTCATTGGTATTGAATCAACTATATAGATATAAACACGCACCTGATGGAGGATGGTCTCTCAGCTCCAATTCTTCTGAGGCTTGTGAAATGGACTTCTTTCCATACTGGTGCGTAGCGGACTATGTTGTGGACTGTGTAGAGGCTTCTGAGCGGGAGAGTGTTTCATCGGACTTGGCAAGGGACTGTGGCGAGTCTCGAACGCAAAAGCCTTCGGGGTGCTTGCCTGAGAGACGGTTGCCTGATACTCCTTTCGTATGTTCCAGAGGATTTCCGCAGCTTCTTTCATACTTGGTCTGTCTCTCCTGCTAGGTGCTGCGCATTTGAAGGCCAGCTCCGCGAGCATCTCCAGTAGAGTCACCAATGGTGGATTCTTCGGAAGGGCAGGGTCCAAAACATCCTGAATATTTCCCTCGACAAACTTCTTGAAGGCCTGTAAGCAAAACTTAAAATCCAATCGTGACCAATCCCGCATCATTTGCTTACCCATCTAATTGTAATGCGCTCGTCACTTGGTCTGGAAAGCTCGATTGGTCTCCTTGCCGAAAAAATCTCCATGAGCAAAATGCCAAACGAGTAGACGTCACTTTTCGTTGTGAGCTGATATGTTTGAAGGTATTCGGGGTCCAAGTAACCCGCCGTGCCTTTGACCTGTGTTGAGACATGAGTTGCTCCCACATCCGAAGGCCCGACTCTCGAAAATCCAAAATCCGCAACCTTGGCTCTGCAGGTGTCCGTGAGCAGGATGTTAGACGACTTGACGTCCCTGTGGATGATAGGCTGCTCTGAAACAAGGACACAAAGAGTCATTACAATTGGCAATAAGGGAGTTGAAGAAAGAGATCTTTGAGACAAATGGTACCTGCATACTGGTGAAGGTACGTGAGAGCGTGAGCTACGTCGATGGCAATATCCAGCCTCGTCGAGAAATCAAGAATGTTATGAGCATCTTAAAACCCGAAAAACGTAAGTTCGTGTTTAAACATGAAAGAGGGCTTACCATCGAGGTGCTGGCGTAAATTTCGATTCGGAACGTACTCAACAACAAGTATGCGTTCCCGCTCGTCCTCATGATAACCAACGAGTTTCACGAGATTTAAGTGTTCAATGCTGGACAGCATGTTAACCTCGTTTTCAAACTCCTTGGTGTGACGAGTCTCAAAGGAGTCCTGAAGTGGCAGAGAATTATATTTGTGAAAATGAATTGGAAATTCTTACCCTTTTTGCTCGCTTGACCGCAACCAAAGTGCCATCCCTGAGCTTTCCTTTGTAGATTGTTCCAGAGGAGCCACCTCCAATCTTATGACTGGATGAAAAGCTTCCCGTGATTCGGTTAAGTTCGGCCATTGTGAACGTCAATGCCCCCGACCCTGTCGTGCTCATTTTAATGCAAGACGACGCCGGTTGCGAAGATAAAGAAGTTCCCTCCTTTGGAGAAGAAGATTTAGAGATGTTCGCTGCAAGAAAAACCAAAATCGAGTAAAAAAAATTCGAATTTTTTCCAAGCTTACATGATTCATCCTTTGGAAAGGTACGAGGCTTGTCGTCCTTGTGCTTGGCTTGAAGACACGGACACAGGACCAAGCAAGTCAAAAGAGTTCCAGATCCAGCGACTAAGATCATCGAGCCAGCACCTCCTCCTACTTTGGCTTGCTCAAATCTACCAAACTTCCGACCATAGCCTTCCACTGCTGTAAAAGACTTGGTCAGAAAGTTCTATACGCCAAAAAATTAGTACTCGCTGCAAATCACCTTGTCGCTGCTGGAAATCCAAACCATCTGATTCCTGGCAGTGTACGCACCCCATCCCCAGAAGAAAAACCAGTAGAACGATACCTTCGATCGATATTTGATCCAGGAACACCGCCATTTCTTACCGCGTCAAGCTCCCATACAAGCGATTTACCTGCGCGCGCATTGCAATGGAGTAGCAAAAATTTCGATCAAGTACCTCGAGCTGGAGCCGCGATGCCGCTACTACCGCCTTCCTTGACCAGCTCACGAAGAACCCTAAAGAGAAAGCGCTGAGGACAGAAACGTACATAATCGTCACGTCACATTAAAAACTAATTGTACAACGTGGCACCATTCATTTCTGCCACGTGTACATCAGGATGAGCGCCATTCTTCGTGGCTATGGCGCTTGTGGCGCGTCCCACGGGGAACTTAGGTCATCGCTCTCGCGGAAGAGCGACAGCGCGAGAACTAGATTTCTCTACAGCTCTTTCATCAGAGGAGGAAGGATTCAGTCGGCGAAATTCTCGACGCTAGGTCTAGCTTGTTCTTCCCAGAAAAGATCGCTGTACGAGATTCTAGGAATTGGGTTGGAGGCGTCGGATTTCGAGATCAAGGAGGCCTACCGGAGGCTCGCCAAGGTCTATCATCCAGATCTGGCACCGCCAGAGCTCTGGCCGCAGCACCAAGGCAAATTTCTCGAGGTCCAGAGAGCCTACGATGTTCTCAAGGATCGAGCTGCCAGGGCCGAGTATGATTCTCAGATGCAAAAGCCTGGGGGATTGGAGGGGCTCGATCGCGAGTGGAGGGGATTTAACTGGGAGACCGATCAGTGCTGGTAGAAAACAGGATCTAGAGATGCTAGAGTTGAGAGTACCTTGTCCGTGCTACAAAAATCTTCTCCTCCCGGGGTCACGCAAGAAAAAGGAAAACTTCGCTAGAGTTGCTGCCTCCTCTTCGACAATAGCTTGCTCAACTTCGTTGCTGCTGATGTCAAGGATGCTTTCTTCGCGGATTTCTCGTCCTCTAGAATCGCCCGGTGGCTCAATCTAATTTGCCCTCGCGAATTCACCTGGAAAAACACGGTTATGTTTTTAGAGAACCAGCCGAGAGTGGAAAGAGGAAAAATGCCATCCTTTTGTTACCTCGATCACTTTGACATCCAAGCGCTCACCCACAGCCACGAACTAGAGTGGAAAAAATAAACAAAGAACTTAGAACAGTAGGACGTATGGAACTCTCGACTTACTTCCTCTGGCCTTGACAATCTGTTTGTAGTTAGCTCACTTATGTGACAAAGTCCCTGTAAAAACCAAGGAAGGAAAAGCATTGTCAGTATAATCCGCGTGAATTTGCGATAACTCTCACCTCTCGACCAGGACTAATCTCCAAGAAACACCCAAACGATGTCAAAGATTTCACGGGGCAATTCCTATAGAAGGCAAAACAACTGTCAAGCATTGTGATGCAAGGTGTGCGTACCTATATACTGTTCCTACAGTAGGATCGGTCGTAATACTACGAATTTTCTCCATTGCTTTGTCAACCTTGTCTCGGTCTTTTCCAACTATGCGGATCTGTAGCCATACGACTTAGTCACGAGATTTGTCGCGGCAATGTACTGAAATTTACTGACCGAGCCGTCGCTGCTGACATCTACTGATTCTACGCCCGAGTCGTCGATAATTTGCCTCACAGTTTTACCGCCGGTTCCTACAACCATGTTTACTTTCTCGCGACCAATCTGGAAACCAAAAGGCATCGATAAGTTGTTCATAGAAGAATGACTCAAATCGCACCTTTACAAAGTCAATGAGGTCGACATGCTTAGAAAGCTTCGTTGATGGCGGAGGAGAGCACATTGTCATTTCCTCTACAAGAAAATGCGAGTCAGTGGCAGAAATTTTATGAAAGAAAAACGAAGGTCTCACTGAGAATATGACATCTTGCAGTTTTAGCCTTTGAAAGGGCTCGCTTCAGGATTGACAAGTTGATTCCTTGGACCTGTTCAAGTTTTATTTCAGGATGTAAGAAAAGACATTATATCCATTGAATTGTTTTTCACCTTGAGGTCCATCTGAAACGCAGTGATGCCGTCCTTGCTACCTGCGACCTGATTCCCAGAAAGGAATAAACTATTACCAACGAAAGTGAGGCAGCTTGCAAGCAAACCTTCAAGTCCATATCGCCACAGGCGTCCTCGGAGCCAAGAATGTCCGTCAGTATTACGGGTCCGCCGCTACCACCGTATTCTTTTGGATCCAAAATAAGACCCATTGCAACACCGGCAATCGGACACTTGACTGGAACGCCGGCGTCACACAAAGCAAGATAAGCTCCACACACAGATGCCATGCTGAAAAAACAAAAGTCGCGGATTATTATGGAACATTTAAAGGAGACGAGAGAACCTTGAGGAGCCATTGCTTTCGGTGATGGTACTCTCAACGCGGACTGTGTATGGGAATTTGCTCGGAAATATAGGCTCAAGGGACCTCTCGATAAGCCTTCCATGACCAATTTCTCGTCTGCTAGCAGGGCCGATGCGACCAACTTCCCCGACGCAGGAGTGAGGAAAAACGTACTGCATGCCATGATCTTTCAATGTTTCGTGTTTTTAAATTTTAAGCAGACTTCTACCTGCACGTAGAAGCGTTTCACTTCATCAGCATCAGTGACACCGTCAATGCGTTGCGCCATATTATCACCACCCAGTATAACAGCTACTAAAGCCTACCGGATATGGCTCGTCAGCGTTTCACAAGAATGAAAAATCAGCAAATAGTAACCTGCGTTTCTCCACGAGTAAAAATCGCACTACCATGAGCTCGAGGAAGCAGATTACACGAACAACTGATGGGCCGAACATCTGATATTCCACGGCCGTCACTACGCACTTTCTCCTACACCGTCCATGATTTTTTCGTTAAGACTTTAAACGATCTTTACCTTGGCAATTATTGATTTCAAGGTCTTAGAAGTGTACTCTTTGAAGGCAAGCTTAACAGTGGCAGCATCAAAAAGCTAGATAAAAAGCACCACCTTATTAGCAGCTCAAGTAGATCTCGAGGTACCTTTGTGAAACTGGTTCTCGGAGTAGGCGTTATATGGACATCGCCTTGGTCAATTTCGCCATCTTTAATCTCGTCCTCATCCCATACGTGCGCATACTCAAGCTGCTCTCTAGTCTTGGATAATGCCACGCCTTCCTCGGTCAGTTTTGACCATACTTTCTTTTCCAAAGCAGTTATCACTGCAGCGCGAGGCTGCTTGCCGCTTATATGAAGAGCCAGGTAAAGGTCATCTCCCATGATTTCCTGCAAAGAAATAACTCGTGCGTGAGCAAACAACAAGGCGTAAATTCATTGTAAACCTTGATTCGTTCCTCTAGACCGGAAGTGGAAAATGGTGCCTTCAGAATGCGTTTTTTCCTTCCAAACTTCTCTCCAAACTCCTCCAGCTCCTTGCAAATTATCTTCACTGCACGCTGCAACAATGTGCTACGAGTTAAGTGCCATATCCAAGATTTAAATGCTCCACCTGGCCTGTTTCTACTGCTTTCACCAATTCATCCTCGCTAAGTAAGTTGCAATATCCCTGATGAACAACACGGTCATCAATGTCATTACAAAAATGTATACCTCGATCATGAGCAGACCATCGCTTGTCCCTGCCACTATCATATCAAGGCTTGATTTCGTAACCTCGCTAGCTGTCGGGTTGAGAACATATTTCCCATTGATGTAACCGACTCTTACTCCAGCCACAGGCTTCAAAACAGGAACATCTGAAAGTGCTCTGCAACGCACTAAGTTAGCAACAGCGCTGTCGCAAAAACAAGTAGCTTACAGAGCGGCGCCTGCAGCAGTAATAGCCAGCGGTTCAGGCAAATGCAAACCATCAAAGCTCAAAACCTACAAATACAGCTGCAATGTATACGTAAATAAGGAACTCCGTTCTTTTCTGAAAAAATATTTACCCAAGAAAGCACTTGTATCTCATGAAAATAACCTTTCGGTATCATCGGTCTTAAAGGCCGATCCACAAGCCTGGATATAAAAACCTGGCAACCACAAACTCATTACAACTATCCGCAACAGTATTTTTGCGCTTTTTACCTCGCTGTCTCGTGGCTTCCCTTCTCTCTTGTTAAATCCACCACTGAAATGACGAGAAGAAAAGTGATTATTGATGTAATGCATAGGAAGCACAAACCTTGTGCGACCAGCAGCAGAGTAGCGCTCGTGATAATGCACGTACAGCGGAACAAAATCAGATGGCTCGCTCGCCTCAGCAGAAGTACAAACAGTCGTGTACAGGATCTGTTGAAAAGAAGGAACACGTCAGAGAGATGGCGAGACCAAAGAACAACTTAAAACTCACAGTTTCTCCATCGCTGATTGTAACAGCACCACCAGCTTGCCTACCTATTGAACCCGTTTCGAGAACAATCTACACGAGGACCAAAACGTACCACGAATGAGCAGAAAAACGAAAAATGCCAACGCTTACCTGTCGATCACCAACTGGAATCCGAACGCAATGCTGCTGCCGGCAAGGACCAATGCAAAAATCACCCAACTCTGGCTGCAGCGCTGGCTCTGCAAAAGAGGTGGTACTATCGCTGTCCACCACGACCAAATTCTCCTTTTTAGCGCGAGCTTTCTTGATGGAACTCTTCTTCGGGCCAGCCTCTGGATCCCCAGAAGAAATGGACGTGGTACTCTCACTGTCTACCACGACCATATCCTCATTTTTAGCACGAGCTTTCTTGATGGAAACTTTCTTGCCGTCAGTGGTGGAAACTTTCTTCTCGCCATCCAACAAAGTCACTGTGTCCTTTCCCTGGGAGGCCGTTTTTAACTCGCTCGGCTCCAAAGGAACTACCTCCTCCTCGTAGGTCTCCCTCTCAGCCTCTTCTACTTCTCCGACAATCGCTACTTTCTTGCTCCTTTTCTTCACGGCAATCTCTAGTGATGCGGTCTCTTTCGCTTTCCTAGCCGCGGCTATGGGCTTGGATCGTGCTTCCGAATGAATCCACAAGCGCCTGGCGTCGACGCTACCGCGAAAGGAGTAAATGGGAGGCAATGCGGGTAATCCCAGTGGCGTGATCAGCCGCGAAGACTTGCAAGGCCACATTGGCGCTGCTCCTGCCGTGAATCTCACTCACCTATCTCATCCTCGCGCGCGCCGCGCCGTCCCGGGCATTCCTCCGCCCTGGAAGAAGAGAAGCCCTAAACCCTAAACCCTAGAATGCGGGGATAAGATTAAATCCTCTTTGTGTGGCTCTGGCACGAGTGGATCAACTAACAAAGGACGCTTCTCTTTCACCTGAACAGCAACTGTCACGGAGATTGTTCTTTGTTTTTTCTCGCGAATTGGGCAGCGAATCCCCTGTTCTTGCGAGAGATTCCTGTGCGCGCTACCGTTACTTCTCTGGAAGAAATTGCGATGGACGACGCTGTGCATTATGCTGCTCCAGATCTAGAAAACCAAAAAAGCACTGTTCTTCTTCGCCCATTCAGCTTTGTCTGCTCGGAGAGAAAAGAAGAATGGAATAGAAAACATCCCCGCGCGTCTCGTTCTATGCCTCGAAACGTACCTCGCAACGAATCACGGAAGAATCTCTGCCCTCTGCTGGCAGTACTGTATAAAAGGCCACACCTAGCTCGAAAACTTTCGACCTCCATTCGCGACTGTGACTACAAAAAGAAAGAGAGAAAAGAAATCGGCATCTTTCTCTCACTTCGATCTCGAACCGATGTTCCGGTTCTTGATCGCGGCGCTGCTCGTCGCTGCTGCTACGGGAGCGCTCGAGAGCGAGAGAAGCGTTGTTCCAGCTCTCTTTGCGTTTGGGGACTCGCTGCTCGATGCCGGAAACAACGTCTACATAGCGAATTCCTCCGCGCGTGTCGATTTTCCTCCCTATGGAGAGACTTTCTTCCACAGGCCAACTGGAAGGTTTACAAATGGAAGAACCATCGCCGATTTTCTCGGTAAGTTTGCCAAATGTTGCTCTTTCCCCTTTTTCGTTTTCCAAGTTGCATGCGCAAAGATCGATTGATGTTCTAACTGAAGTTTGCAACTTCAGCTATGCATCTCGGACTACCATTGCTTCGGCCTTCGCTTGATCCGGCTGCGAACTTTTCCAAAGGAGCTAACTTCGCATCTGGAGGGAGTGGATTGCTCGAGTCGACGAGCTTTGATGCTGTAAGTTCAACAAAATTCTCTTTTTCATTTCCTTGTTGTTGCAAAAGCTCCATTTTTTCATCGATCCTGAAATCAAGTTCAAAACGCTCTTGATGTCATATTGTTCCAGAGCTAAAAATCGTTTTGTTTTTCTTTTCCTTTATCTCTACAGGGTGTTTTCTCGATGAGCAGCCAGATCAAACAATTTAGCCAAGTTGCTTCCAAACTGACCAAGGAAATGGGGAATGCCGCTCATGCAAAACAATTCCTTTCCCAAGCTATCTACATCATCACAAGCGGCAGCAACGATATCGGAATTACCTATCTTGAAAACACAACTCTCCAGCAGACTGTAAAGCCACAGGAATTCATCCAGAGCCTCATTCATGAATATAACAAAACCATCTTGGTAAGGAAGAAACCTTCATCTTTTTCTCCAAGAACAAGAAAACAATGTTTTGGCGACAGGCTCTTCACAGACTCGGTGCGAGGAAAATGGCGATTTTCGAGCTTGGAGTTCTTGGCTGCACGCCATTCTCTCGGCTCGTCGCGAGCACCATGAACGAGACTGGCTGCCTCACACAAGCCAATCAGATGGGCATGCTCTTCAATGCAAATCTCGAGCAACTTGTTCGTGATTTGCGATCCCAGCTTCCGGATATGAAGATCGCTCTCGGCAAAACGCTCAACATCTTCACTGGGATCCTCAACAACGCAACACATTATGGTAAGTTACGTAGCCACCATCTTCACTTTTCTTTTTTCTTTTCTTTTGTTTTTTGCCCTTTTGGAATTAATTAATTGTTATATGTTTCATCATTTCCCGGCAGGTTTTGCGAGCACGACATCTGCTTGCTGTGGAGCGGGGCCTTTTAATGCAGGTGTCAGCTGTGGGAGAAAAGCTCCACCAAACTATCCATACAAGGTGGCCACCGGAAAGAAACCGTCTAGATTTCTCTTCTGGGACAGAGTACACCCCACTGAGGTTGCTTACTCTCTCGTCTTCAAGCAGCTGTGGGGTGGAGATTTGAGAGCTATAGAGCCCTTCAATCTCAAGCAATTGTCCACCATGATAGATTGACAGCTTATTTTTTTCCTAAGGAATGTACTGCCTATTCCTTATTTAGATGTCTAATTAAATTTTACTTGTGTTTTCCTCCCTTAACTTTAAATTAACCATAAATATTTATTAACAAAATTAAATTAGTAACTTAAAGTTATCAATTGATTAATCAATAGTTAGAAATATTCCAATAAAATGATAAATAGTCAAGCACAATTTATACACTGGAGGACTTGCCAGGTTTGTATTGTTTCTTGAATTTGAGTGTTTGTATTGCCAATTGGTTAGCTTTTATCAAGTATCCCTTCATTTATAGTCAACTATTTTATTTTAAAACTTTAGGATGTATATGTTGGATCTTAGGACTGGATAAAATTTAAGAAATATGTGTTGTCAAAACCTTAGAAACAATCAAAGTTATATTTTAATCAATGTTGCACCTAGGGTGCAATGTGGAGATATACAGATATTTCATAAGAGTTATGGAAGGAAAATCTACATTAGAAAATAATAGAGATTTGAAAGAAATCAGCAAAAGAGTCAACCATAAAAAAGAGGGCAATAATAGGGAAGTTGGGCTAAGTTTCATCCTTTTCTTGGAAAGATTAACAGTATTTAAAAGTCTTCTTTTAGTGAGTAAAGAGGAGTGAAATTGTGAATTTTAGAGTGTTTTGGAAAGCTTTGATTGTAACTTATAGTCAGTCACTAACAACAAAGAATCTTTAAGCAATTTTGTGAAGTAATATTTATTTGCTTTTCTTACAACTTACTATATTCTTGCTTGATCTCCTAGCATTGATTTTGTTGGATTGAAACAGCCACAAGATAATTATAAACCCAATTAGATTTTGTAAGTTAAAAATAGAGTGTCACCTTTTTTTGGTTAGGTAAGTTTCTAGTGAACAAGGTTTCTTGAATTCTTATTTAAGGAGACTCTTGGATGGGAACTATATGTACATCTACCACATTAGGTCCTCATATCTTTGTCTAAAACTCTTGTTCACTTCATGCTTCTGCATAATTAATAGGGCTCACTACCTATGCAAGAATATTCACTGGTGACATGATGAATTTGATTGTAACCCCCATCATAGGCAAAGGGTACCAAGAAATTAATTGTAGCTAAATATTTTAAATTTTATTTTCTTATAAAGATGGGATATATTGACTAGAATTTATTCCACTATAGAGTTAAACTCAAATAAATTGAATGTGGTGCAAGTTTATAGTTGTACACTTTCTTGTTACCTAGAATCACCAACAAAAGTTCATCTCCTCCTTAATACCCCCAAACACTGAATCTAAAACAGTTAATACATGTACTACAAGCATAAGTCATATAAGTCATAAGTGATTTCACAAAATTTATATGTGGGGCTTCAAGATTTATAGTTGTATTGGTGGAGTGAGCCATTATATTTGTATTGCAACAATGAACTTTTAAACTGGATAAAGTAGTTACAACTAAAGTGGTAAAATAATTTTGTTATGCCCCCAAATATTTTAAAGCCCAATAAAAATAAGATCATTTAATAATTAGTTCCAAAGATAAAACTCTATTAATATGAAATGGGATGGTGTTTACCCAATTTGGTAATTGGTTTTGATTTTTCTCTCTTTATAATTCATAATTATATATGTAGGTAAATTCCAAGAATCCTTTCTGAGAAAGTTGCTAAAATTGATTAGAAATAGAGATCATTGTGGGTTCCTATTTTTTAAAAATATGGCAAATGATCATCACATTTTCTGAGGTATAGATGGCCTAAATATATTATTTATCTCCCACTATAAATATAACCAGCTATAAATATTTAAAAGGGTTAAATCAGTCTATAATATTTTTATAGTTATAAATAACTGACTTCTAAAAATTATTAAATAAATAAGTATTCAAATTGTAGTTTCGCATTGAATCAAATATAGAGGTGTGAAGAGCAAACCTCCATGGACTACTATTTAAAATGGTAAATTATCTATTTTAGTTGTTTTTATAATATGTAAATGTATTAACAAAATGGCTTCGATTCTTGTTAAAAAAACTATTGTTAATTTTAAAAACAAATTTTAAAAAAAAGTTATAATATTTTATACTATTTAAAAAACTGTAAATTATTTATTAACCATTAGGAAGAATATAACATGATATATGCTCTTAAAAAATACTTATAAATTATTGAAAAGAATGTTTGGAAATGGATAATCCCTTCGTAGTTTTCCAATGTTTGATCTTAATACAATTTTTTTTATCTCATTGGGACAAATTTGGATTAAATTGCAAAGCTCCAATCCATTAAATAATTGTTTTTAGTTATTAAACAAGAGTTTCAAAACTGCGAAATAAAAGTAATCAGCTCCAATCTTATACATTGTTTTTCTTGAACTAGATAGAAATAACTGAAACTATAGAAATAATATTTAAAGTTCTTGTAAACATTTCTGAATGTTTTTAGGAAAACAATTCAATTGAAAATTAAGTCTTAATTATTTAAATTGCATACTATGAAAATCAACACCATTAATTTATAAATAATATCATGACGAAACGCTCATGCCTAGGAGGGGCTAAATCCCCTCCAAAAAGATGAGTTAATATTTGTACCAAATTCACAAGTTTATATTATACTATAAAAAAGACTAATATAATAAAGTCATTTCAATTATAGTCTAAGTATTTTATAAAGTATATCTACCCTTTTTTAACATGCTCTACTTGATGAATTTTTTTATATTTGTTTCAAAGTTTCATTAACAAAATGAAGTAAATTATTGTTTTCTTTCTAAATTAAAGATAATAGAAGAAAATATAAAAATGGAAAAATAACTAAATTCTAAATTAAAATTAAAAAAATAATTTAAATAGTTATTGTTAAATAAATTAAATTGTGATTGATATAAAAGAAATGAAAGTTTTTAAAGTAAGAACTTAACCCATATATAAATTTTAATGTAATATTTAGTATTTTTATTAAAAC